CCCCCCCCCCCCCCCCCCCCCCCCCGGTCGATAAGACAAAGAAACACACGAATCTACGCAAGAACAGCAGTTCTCGTTCGGAACCGCTGGCAAAAGGACAAGGGCTTCGGTTGAGGCCGGAGCTATGTAGCCCCGGGCTATTACGAAAAAACTACACGAAACTGATAAAATATCGGGGGGTTTTGCCACCGCCAAGCAAACAAGAAAACAAGGAAAAACGCAAGAACAAACCGCCCGCGCGAATGGGGACGTCCACGAATTCAACGAAATACGAAAACATCACCGAACATGTCGACGACGACATAAAACACTCCCGTCAAGCGAAACCGATGACTTGACATCGGCGGCATGTTGACGAGGAGTAGGGGGCCGGCAGGTAGACAGCACACAAGGATGGCACACATGCGTCGGCCGCATTCTACTCAATAAAAGTATACTGCCACAAGGTGTTTCCTAGCGCAAGCGCCTTGAAACCGAACAACTATGACATCTATTCGCGCGCCAAAAATGCCAGATGTGCGCTTTGTCATGAAGACCCCCCCTGGTTGCCCGCCGCCGCCCCCCACCTGATACATGCACAACGTCTAGGAAAAAGAAACACAGAGGAAGGGTGTCTCCGTAAAAAACAACGGAGGAAGCGATACACTGCACACCCGGCTTACACGAATGTCGAACGCGATCTTTGACGCAGGGTTTCCAATGCGATGCACATCCGCTCGACGACAAGAAAGACAACAAGAAATTAAGAACGCAGGGAAACGGCCCAAATTGACGCAGGGTTTCCAATGCGATGCGCATCCGCTAGAAAACAAAAGATTAAAAACGTAGGGCAAACGGCCCGAAAGAAACAACGCAAAACGTGTGGTGGCTTAGTCGGAAATAAACCAACCAACCACCAACACGCTGTAGAACGGAAAAGCATTCCACTTTACCCTCCCCCTCCTCACTCCGCAAAAAGCATGGGCGATGCAGACGCGAAATGTGGGTGATAATAACGCGACGTGGACTTGTTTCGTTTCTAGTTGAGCAAGAAGAACGAAAGCGCTTCGTGCCAACTGCCGCAAGCTCTCAATTACTCTCATCGAAACGCCCCCCATCCCCTCCCCCATGAACTCGACCTACGGACCCCAAAACACGCCGCCCCATTAGTCAGCCTCAACCACCGGTGACGCTTCCTCGCTTTCGTCGCCGCCGACTTCCTCCCCCTTGCTCTCCTCGGCGCCACCGCCGACACCGTCCTCGTTCTCGATGACGGTGGTCAGCGCCGCCGTCTCCTCGTCGCTTTTCTTCGCTAGGTTCTCCTTGAAGCGGGCCAGATCTGCCTCAAGCTTGTCGGCGATCGCGACGGCGCCAGCCCGAGACGCCATGTCGGCCAGGCAGCGCTCGAGGTACTCCTCGGGATAGTTGGTTCTCATTTCTATTTCGGTTGGATGGGGAGAAACGCGTACGCATTATCGTGGCGGTGTCAGCGTGGTGTGGGGTACTCATCACCGTGCCGTAGTCGTTAGACCATTGACTTCGCATCCCTACAAAGCCGGAACGGAGCACGCCGGGTTCTCAGCGGACCAGGTTCTCACACAGAGTTGTGGGGGTACGGCTAAATCGGATTGGGGCGAAGTAACCATTTAACTTGTTGTCGTGGCCTCAATCAAGAATGCCCAACTACGGAGTGACGTTTGGGCAATGAGCCATCCGGGCGCACTGCAAATTCGTTCCGGCTTGCGATAAGGATGCTTTTTGTCATGTTTTCCAGGGAACGAATGCAGATGAGGGAATCGGACATGGTTCGGCACAGTCGAAACCCGGACCATTGACCTCACGTCGACGAGGGGTCGGAAGCGACAAATAATTGGGGTTCTGGGAGAAAGATATCACCCAGAAATCTACCGAAATCTGCCAGGGTTCGGAACAGAGCTGTGACTCTGAAGCCTGACAAACACGAAACCTGACACAAACACTTCAGCCGTGGGAAGCGAAGGGCACGCGCGGGGGGGACTTACCGGCCGGGGTGAGCGGCACCAGCAGCAGCCCCATACCGCCGGCCTCCGCCTTAGTGTCGATAGGGACGACGACATCATCTCCATCGCCGCCACCGCCGTCGGAGCCGACATCTTCCAGATCGGCATCCGCCGCACTGTCGCGCCGCTTCTTCTTCCGGGCCTTCTTGAGCTCCTGCTTGAGCCTGTCGCGGTCGTCTCGCTCCCCGAGCCCCAGCGGGTGCCGCGGTTCGCGCCGGCGGCCCATCGGTTCGTCGTCGAGGAGGCGGGTCGTCGCGTCGATGCCCGCCGTAATCTTGCTCGTCGCGCCGAGGGCGGCTGGTGAGAGTCAACAGCAGTTGCAAGTTGCAGTCATCGTAAGCTGTAGCAGCATCGCAGCTACAGCAGTTGTAGCAGCAGCAACGGCAGTTGCAAGTTGAAGTTCCGGTTGAAGCAGCAGTAGTTGTAGCAGCATCGAGTTACAGTTGTTGCCGCCGCTGCCGCAGCAGCAGCAGCAGCAGCAGCAGCAGCGGCGGCGGTGGAGACAGCACTCAAAAACAGACAGAATTGACAGCATTAGCGCGAAGCGATGTAACGTAGTGCGGCGACCAAACGCTATTTAGGGGGAGAGAGAGGTACAAGTAGCAGGTGGCGGTTAAACCTGGAGAGAGATAAATTAATTCTCACTTCAAGCTAGGGCTTTAGGGCTCCCGCTTAACCGAAGAACGCCAACCGTCCGCACCAAACCTACGCGACCTCGCCTGCATCACAAAGCTACTTATATCGCCCCTGAGCTTTTGGTAATGGGGCAGGCAGGGGGTTCTTCCAAACCAAAGCTGTGCATACAGTACCTGAAACAGGCGCGGCGACGAGTCCGACGACGCCTTGGCCCACACCCTTCACGAACCCAGCCGCGCCGTTCTTCCTCGCGCCCCGGACGGGCTTCATCACCACGCCAGTGATCCCGTCTTTGACCGTGTGCCCGAAGTACATCATGCCCTGGGTTAGGCCTTGGCCTAAGTGTTCTGGAGCCTGGGGAGACGGGAGGAACAGGATACACGGACGGTATGCCCGCGTGCGTGGGGCCGTGCCGGTGCGGGGGGGGGGTGGGGGGTAGGCTTACGATTGTGCTCGAGTGCTGCAACGCAAGCACACGCAATCGTCAGAAAAAAAAAAGAGCCAAGAAAGAGCGAAACGATGAACGACGTCGGAATTGTCGAGGTTTCTGGGGTGCTGCAGTGGTCATCGGCAAAACACGGCGCTCCCTACTCTCACATGGCCGTGTTGATATGCATCCCTTTTGCCTTTTCGCGAGGACATGCAGATCACCCACGCCATGAGCAACACCCGCGAGAGAGGGTGTCCACCGAACACCTTGCCGCAAGCAACAACGATCTCCCCCACCCACTCACGATTACCAAACCCAAAACAGATCACCCAACAACCGCTCGTCTCCTGAGACTACCTCAACGGAAAAAACAGCAACAAACGAAGTCGCGCGTTGCGCCGCTCCCTCCACCCCCAGGGTCATGCATACCTTAGTCGACTCCATGCCGCTAGGCGCCTCCGCGTCCATGCAGCCCGCCTCCCGCACGAAGTTGTCGAGCGCATCCGTCATCTTGCTGGCGCTGCTAGCCGTGCCGCCAACGACCCCCTTGACGAGGTCCTTGGAACCTTCCCCGATGTGCCCGGCACCCGTCTAATGAACGGCAACATGCAGCGAGAAAACAGCGGGAGTCGGAGGGGGGGGAGTACTCATGTAAACGCCGTAGTCATTGGACCATTGGCCTCATCCCTGCAACGCCAGCACGGCTCGATTTGCCGGGTTATTCGCCGGCCCGGGCTTCGTTTCACAAGCATGAACCAAGACATACCCTTGTGACGAAAGATTGGGGGGGGGGGTGTCGGCGAACAGGAACATTGCTCTTTCACAAGGGCGTGGTGTGGTACAATGTCGTGCATGGGGGGGCGGGGGGATGCGAGCACCGACCGCTATACGACGTGTTCTGCAGGTGCACCAGGCAAAGTTCGCATTTTTCTCAATGTCGCCGTAGTACCTTCTTGACACTTTCCAACTAAAAAAGTGCTTCCGTATAGGGATATCGGATCCGTGACAAAGGCGTGCCTTTAGAGGGTCTGGAGGGTTGTGTGTCTAGTGGGTCGCACCTTAGTGACGAAGCCGATTACCCCGCTGGAGATGTTCATGCCCAGCGACAGCGGGTCCCCCAAGATGTCGATGTGTCCCAGGACCTTGTACGCCTGCTCGTTTTCGGAGAAACAGCGGTTGAGAGATCATTTCCCCCGACAACAAGGTTTCCGAAGGAGAGAGCAAAAAAGACAAAAATGGAAATCGTGAACAAAGACCTTGTGATACCATCCACGTTGACAAGACAGAAAACGTCCGAAGTTAGGTAACAACTAGGAGGCGTGCTTCGCGTGTCGTCCAGACTAGAATACTGCATGTTCGCAATGAAAAACCGACGCATATTTGCATCGTTCGGCCGGCAAAAAGCGGCAGCGGTCGATGCCAACCCTACCTAGACAAACGAACTCCACCCCCACCTGTACAACTCCCTGCTTGACGAAGCTCATCACCACAAGCGTCACCGCCTGGGTCTTGCTGCCGTAGTAGTGCTCCAGCTCGTAAGCGTCGAAGTTGAAGGTCGGCGACGCGTTGGCGATGCCTGCCCCGAAACTCGACAGGAGGCCCCACACGACCCCGCCCACCGCACCCAGGGGCATCATCGCGAGGGAGGCCCCGAAGCCGCCCTCGTCCTTCTCTTCGTCGCCGTCGGCCGGGGGCTTGGAAGACAGGAGGGCAGCCACCTGCGGAAGGAGTTTGCCCGAGAGGTAATTGCCAAGAGATATCGTGTTGCTGCTGCTGCTGTTGTTGTTGTTGTTGTTGTTGTTGTCGTGGGATTGTTGTGATTGTCGTTGTCTTTACAACAAAGAACCGTTCCGGTGCCTTCTCAGTAACGTCCAGCTAACACCTGTACCGGTCCAGCTGCGCGGACGCCTCACAGGCCCAATGCTGCCCAAAACGGGTACACACTCTGACAATCAGGCAAACATGACAGATAAAAAAAAAAAGCACACCTGTGTTGCGTGTTCTTGGGGAGAGGCACCAAGGGAGGACGGTCGAATGCGGTTCGTTTTCGGATTTGTGTGTTCACCCGTTTTTGGGTGCAAGTGCGGAGAAGAGGCGAATCTCTCGAACTCGAGTGGTGGAGATTTTTTAGAGTTACGGAGTGGGCGCGGTGCAATCAAGCACATCGAGCTAAAAGGCACCAGTCAAAGTAGGACGGGTTTTTCAGAAATGTACATTTCAGGTATGCGCGGACGGTGAAAGTTTGTGACAAGTCCAGCTCGAGACACCCCGCAGTCTCCACAAGCCTCATCGGCTGCAACTCCGGCGGCGTAGCCGAACAACCCAAGCAAGAATGGACAGCAATATGCGAAAAAAAGATAACCCCGACAGAAGAGTCGCCAACACTCGCAAACCCCCACGTGATGCCGTAGCGACATTATCAACAAGCGAACATCCCGCAACAACACCTTCCTGACCACACCTCAATCGCAGAAGGTGAGCCTCTACCCCGACCATCCTCCGCGGGTAGTCCTTCAATTATTGCTACTGTTGACTATTAAATAGCCCAGAAACCGGTCCTAGCTATCTTAAGATCTGCATAACCGCAGCAGTAGTACATCTAGTAGATACCTTGGTTCCCAAGTGGAAGTCCACCGCCACCTCGATCTCCTCCTGGAAGTACTCGCCGATGTAGATCCTGTCCACGGTAGCGTCCGCGGCCGGCGCCTGGAGCAGGTTGCCCACGACACCTTGTGTGTCCGCGATCGCCCGCGCCCGCGCCTCCGCTGGCGACGAGTTGGTCCAGTTAAGCGAGGCGAACACCACATCCTGGTACAGAAAAAGGGTTTTCCAGAGGGAGGGATACGGAACCGAAGATTCTTCAATTAATCCTCATTCTGCACACATGGAAGTAGGTGGAACGGAGATTGTTAAATCAATCGTCAGCCTCGCACACGAAAAACGCGGACGCGGCAATGCTGCGTCGTAACGTTGCTTGTTTCCGACGCAAACGGTGGGAGGATCAACTTTTCAACGACGGTGGCCGTGAACGGTGGCATAGGACCTTCGGCCACGAGCACAGGCACCGGACTGACTCCAAGCTCTGCAATCCGCATCGCAACTGGAGCCCCCATGTCCCCTGGAACATACATACACAGAAACCGACAACAAAAGAACGGCCTCGAAATGGTGGGGGTGGAAGGCTTGCCTGTACATCGATCCAGAAGTCGACATGCACCGCACAGTGCACCTTCCCGAGGCACATCTCGATAGAGCGGATGACCCACATGTGATGCGTCAGGGACACCTCCACGTCGCGCTCCACCTCAACCTGCCGGCGAAAGGGAAAGAGGTAACAAAGGCGGCGGCGGCAACGGCCAGACGAAGTCAGTCAATTATTTGTTTTTTGTGTCAGGGAGGGAGTGTGGATGGGGGCAAGAGGGTTAGGATAATGGAAGAAGCGACGGGAGGCAAGCGCCTGGAGATTTGGTTTTTGAGTCCATAATTGCGGAACCAAAACCAGACAACAACACCGCAAAACCGACAGCCATTTGTTTTAAAGCGCGGACACCACCGACACCGCGCACTTGGGCCTTCGTACGCATCTCGCTGTCTACATGTAGCACCGTCGATCATCCGTGGCACGACGCTGAGGTGCTGCTGGCTACTTCTGTGCAAGGGGAATCGTCAGCATTATGTCATGCTCCCAGGCCCTTGCAGAGAACCGCCTCCTTGTCCTCACACTTATCTGCCTCTCTCTCTCTCTCTCTCTCTCTCTGCCCCCCGCTGTCTCTCTCTCTCTCCCTCTCTCTCTGTTTCCACACGTAGAAACAAGAGACCGATCCCCGACAAAGAGAAAGGGCTCTCACCCTGAAGGCGGGCGAACCGCTAAGCCCGTTGTAGTGAACCTTGGTGAGGTGGCTGTTAAACCCGGTGCATTGCGGTGCCAGGATAATCGGGTGGGGAGAATCTGCCCGCATGTCATCCAGCTGCAACGGAGATGGTAGATCCAAGAGGGGGGCGGTGATTGGGGCAGGCGGGAGGTAGGATGGGGTAAGAGATGTGGCTCGACAGACCGCCGGACACATGAAGCAGGAAACATAAAGGAGGAATAGGACAAGCCTCGAGAAAACACCGTGTGGGCAAACGAGAAATCCCGCGTGTTGTTGCACGCTTGACCATTATTTTGTCCTGAGTTGGGGACAATTTGTCACCGCCGTGTTTGAAAAGAATAATGAAAAGCAAAGGCAAATCTCCCCCGAGTTAAAAGCAAAGATGCTGTACACTCTCTAAAACCGTACGTTTCGCACAGAGTGACAGACGTCGCGGACCGTGTTCCATTCGGGATGGATGATTCAACCAAAGTCAAAGGGTTGTAGATGATACACCACAGCAGGCTCCAATATTGCCCACTACGGGGGGACGCGCTCGCCGTTTGGCGCTCAGGGCGGCAGCGGCGCGTTGGAAGATTCAGTAGTAATGTCGAACGCTGACAACCCCTCCGTCAGACAGGAGCGTCACCGACATCGGTCCCCAGGCTGCAAAATGTACAGTTTCGACACAGATTCCGAGACTACTACCTCGGACCTTCTGCCCCCCCCGTCCCACTTCTCCTCATTCGACACGTCAACTCTTTCCTTTCCCCCTTCCCACCTGGAAGTGCCACACCGACACCGTCACCCCGGGAGTTCCCGAAGGCTTTCCCAACTCGAAGTTGTCCACCGTAAACGCCGCCAGCTCCGACGGCCCCGAGGGGGTGCTGTCGATGATGTTCAGCACCAGGCCCGCGAACTTGGCATCGAAGTGGAGGCCCGTCCAGATGCGAGCGAACTTGGTCTCGACCGCTGCCC